GTGTATATATGTATATATATATATATATATATATATAATTTTTTTTTTTAATAAGATAGATTTTCTAACCTGTATCTTCATTATGGAGACGGCGGTGAGTGTATTGGATACTTCTCTCTTTGCTCCTGCCGAACTTGTACACAAAGTGCCCCAGAATTACCAGAACTATTACACCAAGCAGAATGCTGAATAAAATGGTCAGAGATTTCTCTGAATGATTCAGGCCATCACCTGCTTTAAAACAGAGGTAGGAATAGTTAGGCAGGGGAAACATATTTCATTATTTGGTTTACATTATTAATGCTAAGATATGAACAGACCTACCTTGAGATTCATTCAAAGAAGTTGTGCTGTTTTGAGTTACAGCGGTAGAAATTATCGCTGTTGGTTTGGTCACTGGTGCTGTTTTTGATATAGCACTTCCATTGCTGCTATGTGTGGTGTTGTCTGTAGAAGTGACAGCTGTTGAACTGATGTTGAATGCTGAGGATGTGGATGATTGGGTTGTCTGAGCATTTTCTGTTTTGTTTGGCTGCCCTGCTGATCCTGTTACATTGCTTTTGTTGGGTCCCAAAGTAGTGTTGGAGACAATAGTGGTCGTCTGGGTTGTCAAGTTGTTTTGAGTTGTTGTACTATTACTGTGTGCTGAATAGCTTGATGAATTTGAGACATTATTTTCTGTGTGGTTTCCTGTTGCATTCAGAGGTGAAGCTATTGTAGCACTCAGGCTTGATGGTGACTCACCAGTATGTTGTGCATCAATTATATTATTCAAGACCAGCAAAAACAATATTAGCTGGCCACATACCAAAAGCTGAAAAGTTAGCACACCCATAACTGTTGCAACTGCTTTCTCCTTAAAAAAAAACATACACAGAGCACAAGTCACTCCAGATAGAGAGATAAGACATACACTTTCATACAGCACATAACCTAATTCAGTGTGTTTTATCTGTATGTGGTGCTGATGTGGTATCCTGTTAGGTGCTTGCAAAGTTTCCATGTACTAAGTACATGTATTTCTGGTAAGAGGGTATCATCATGGCTTCCTTTGTGTTTTATTTTTCAAACAATGTTTTTTTCTCTTTTCCAAAATACTTTTTTTTAGCACTACACATTTGAATCATTAACATGTAGGTTAAAAAATGAAATGCGTACTTTGTTTAAAAGAACACATACAGAAAGTTAGAAGAACATGAGCCATTACGTCTAAAATGGCGCTGAGATGAAACTGAAGACAACAAAGAGCCACATGGTTTTGCATAGGCTAAACAAACAGTCATGGGCGACCCTTTTTATAAATGTCACCCATCACAGATTTTCCCTAATTAAAGTGGCCCCCCATAATTGAATTGTTTTCACAGACAATGTTGTTTAATTTACATCCAATATGCATAATTGTGACAAAAGCTACATGTTATGGATCTTTTTAAAAGAAACTAATTCGGTTCCTGTCTCTTTCTCTCATCTCGCTTTCATTCTCCTACACCCTCTTTTGTGTAATTATTGTAGTGTATAAAACAGTATTAATTTAGGACAAGAGCAGAGCCTACCTGTAAGCTGAAAGAAACGGTAGTAGTGAAAGCAGGAAGTGGCTCGCAGCAGTTATTACACTCCCACACCTGCTGCAGGCTCCATTCATTTCCCACTCTCTGAAGAAAACAGCTCAGCTCCACGTCAAACAAACAGGTAGAGGGGGCCGGCCTTGAATGGCTGACTTCCTTTACCGGCATCGAGGAGGCAGGTGTTCAGCCATTGTTTAACCCGTGTGTGACCCAAGAGTTTTTAACCCTTCACTCTGATGTGCTTGTTTGATTTCAGTGGTTATTCCTTCCTGAGTGTTACTTTATTACGCAGTGAGTTTGACACATTAACATTTGTCAAATTTTATTTCAAAATAATTAAGATGTAATACAGAACCTTTTACTAAATATTCCTGTGTAAATTATTCAAAACCTGACCATTGAAATCACAGAATTTTGATGTAGTTTATGACAACAGCCCATATACAGTATAATGTAGCCTACTGGAATAAAAATACATGTTAAACATAAATTTCTTGCTTCTCTTATGGGAAGGTTTGTAAGGATTGAATGTATCATCATCACTTAATTCCAACATACAAAAAAACAGTCATAATATACTATTTACATCATATCCAAAAATCTGTTTGTTTTTCACATCTAAAACTTAGTGATCTTCTCCTTGTAGTCTTTCTCTTTCAGTGCAATTTCATTATCACTGAAAACTTGATTCTCCAGCCCATGGATATTTTTTGGGTCTTTCTCAATTAAGTCTGACACCTAAAAAGGGAAATAAAAATTAAATGCAAAGCAGTTTTACATGTTATTATTAACTATTATTATCTTAACTGAAGCATTATTTCAGACCTGGATAACACAATATATAAAATTCAATTTCTATAATTTTTTTTTTTTTGTACCGTGTCTGTCGCACTGGGAATGAAATCTCTCACCTCTGAGTCTGAGCTTCTGCATCCAAAGCAGATGAGATCTGATTTTCCAATAAAGAGCTCAGGTCGAGCTTTCTCCTGCTTACAGCCACCTGAAGTAAAGAAATAAATAACTCAGAGTTTAGGTTCAATCTCTGAATGTTTGGCTCACTTACAAAAAGATGAGAAAGAGTCACCTTACCTGAGATTGCACTGACTATTAGTCCTGTGATCACGGTCACTATTATGCCCACAGGGCAGAAGTACAAGTAGGACAAAGAATACCAGTTGTCTGCCAAAGCTGGTCTTGGCCTGAAGAATGGCATGGGACAAGTTTCAGTTAGCTTTGATGTCAGTATGTTGCAATAAATTGATCAAAATTTACAATAGAGACATTTATAATGTTACAAAAGATTTCTATTTAAAATAAATATATATATATATATTTTTTTTTTCTATTCAGCAAAGAATCCTGAAAATGTATCACATTTCCACAAAAACTATTAAGAAGCACGTACATTCATTTTCAACATTGATAATAATAAGAAATGTTTATTGAGTAGCAAATCAGCATATTAGAATACTTTCTGAAGAACGTTGATGACTGGATTAATGGCTGCTGAAAATTCAGCTTTGACATCACAGAAATAAATGACATTTTAAAATATATGAAAACAGAAAATTATTTTAAATTGTAATAATATTTTACAATTTAACTGTATCAGTGTGTTTCAATCAAACAAATGCAGGCTTGGTGAGCATAAGAGACCCCGACCCCAATCTTTTGAATCGTTGTGTAAATCTATACAAATATAAGATTGCTTACTGTGGAGTTGTGGTTTGTAGGACTGTGCTGAATGGTGTGATAGTGGTAGTTTCATTCATGTCCGGTGCAATGCATCCTTCCACACTCAAGGGAAGCTGAAGGGTCTTCTCAGGTAAAGGAGGATACAACTGAGCTCCAATTCCCACCCATAACGTTATAGTCAGGCCAGAAATCAAACCAACTAAACCTCCCTGAAGGAACACACAGTTAATCTGTATGAATCTGAGGTACATCAAATCTAAAAATCAAAAAGTTTTATTATGGTTAAAAGTGCATTAAGTACTTTTGTTAATGTGACAGTGGTCTTGAAACCCTATTGGTGTGGATGTAGAATGATGTAAAAAGCAAACTTTTTTTAGTTACTGAAGCTATTGGAAAAATACCGTTCACAATGTTTTGTCACACACTTGTGGAAAACGTTACTTGGAGCATTTTTAAGACACTTTGGTTAATTGTTTAAAAAGATGTACAAAATAACTCTTGAAACATAGTAATGAGTACATTAAGATATAAGCTCTTACAGTAGAGTTCACGCAGCGGAAGAATATGCCCAGCATATAAAGGCCCAAGAGAGGTCCATTGATCATACCAAATATGGACATAGCTGCCTGTGGAGGAAGGGTTTCATAGCGTGACATTACAGTCAGTCATCAGCAGAGGGTGCTTTTGATAGAGTGAAAAACTCATGCAAGTTTTTAAGGGACACTACTGCAGTATTACACTCAAAATGTTGGCTTTGTGCATAGAATAGATTTACCTGCAGTATATTGCCCATCAAGGACGCAACACCAGCCATACCGATGCATACAGCTCCATAGAATACACCTAGAGATAAGCAGCACACCATTAAAACGTCAGTCCATCATCCCCCACCATCCCCTGCTTCAACCATACAGCTGTTGCACTGAAACTCACTCAAGCCCATGTTGATCCAGGACAGCTGTTTCTCTGTCAGCCAGGGCCATGCTGGCTTCATAAAGTCCTCCACTGTGACAGCCACCAGAGCGTTGATACTCGACGACACCGTACTGTTGAAACCAGACACATAACCTGACATCAACAAAATTCATATTTAGTGTTACACCATGACTTAAAATCAGAGGATCCAACACTTTTTGTCAGCTAAATTCTAATCTAATTTTTAAATTAGCATTTTAAGTACACTCTGATATTTCAGGTTGTTTTGTGCTTTAAATAAATATAAAATATTTTTTAAATAATCATATAATACATATGTTTAATATAGTTTAATGTAGTTTTATATAGAAAACTATAATTGGAAAGAAATTAAATATAACTAAACGAATAATTAAAAGTAAAAAATAGAATTTATACTATATATATATATATATATAAACAATAAAGTATATAGTATAGAAATAGAAAACTAACAGAAAAAAACAATTAATTCTAACTAATTAATAAGTTTAAAAAAATCATAAAAAATATATAATTAGTATATTTAATATATATATATTAAAATATAAATAATTAAAAATAAAAAAAATATTTATACAGTATATATATATAGATAGATAGTGTAGTTTAAAATAGAAAACTATAACTGGAAAAATTTACTATAACTAATACAAATATTCATAATTACCTATTTTTTTTATCATTTATATATATATATAGCTTAGCGTGGTTATTATATATGTATATAGCTTGGCACTGCTTTCACAATTTCCCTTGGTCAGAGAAAATCAAATGATGAATGATTTTTCTAATGATGATCTTGGTCCTGGTTAGAAAACCTTTCCCAAAATGATCAGGGTAGACATTTATTTGTAGTTCACCTTAATGTTCCACTGTAAGCTGCAGCAACGAACAATCCAGGCAGTCCTGGGAATTCTGCTAGTATGTCCATCACCAGATAAGGAAGGAGCTGGCGAACATTAGATTTGGTCAGATTAAATGGAAGCATTGTGAGTACAGATTGCGACACCACTAATGGGACTTGTATTACCTGGTCTGAAGCTCCTACATCTTTGTTGGTGAAAGGATCACAGTCTTTATAGATGGAGTACATGGTGAGACCCGAGAGCATGGCCAAACTTACTGTGACCCATAATCCCACCATATTCAAATACAGAGATCTGTGTGGGCAAATGTTGACAGAACACTAGGGTTTGCACCAGAGCATGAGGCGCTCTTTTGGAGCATGAGTAAAGTCTCATAATATCATGTTTTGAGTGAATATACTCACAGCTTTGCTTGAGTCAATGTCTTACAGGAAATGTAGCGCTGAACCTGTGATTGGTTGATCGAGTACATGGATGCCCACATCAGACTGCCGCCAACAACAATTGTCCAAAAACTATGACGTCTCAAAGGATCAGGATCAAAACTGAAGAATCATTTGAGAGGTTTGTTAGAATATATGTGGCCCTGGACCACAAAACCTGTCTTAAGTGTCAATTTTTCGAAATTGAGATTTATACACCATCTGAAAGTTGAATAAATCAAGCGTAGTGTTAGTTCTGGCAGGTCACGTTAGTCAAGCTCGCATCAGCTGACTCTCAGCTGATCCCCATCTACCTATGGGAATACGACACCTATCTAAGCATTCATATATAAGGTCCCTCAGTAGTATCAGCAGTTTTGCATTGCTCAATAGCTAATTACCCTCCTCCATCCCCAGCTCCTCCTCTGTCAGTCAGGATTCAGCCTTCTGATTCTCCTTTGAATCAGACTAATTCTAAAATGTGTACATAAATTATTGAACTTTAACGATATCTGCAATACATTTATGTTGGTTCTGTTCTGTTTACCCTGAGGGACTTATCGCTGCTATCCCTGCTTTCATCCATGCTAGGCTGCATGGATGCGCAGGGAGTTCTTGCCCAGAACAGAACCATACCGCCAATCCAAACTGTATGCTAATTGTCAATCATCTTTGACGATAGTGGTCTTGACAGAAATAAGCTTTCCATTGATGTATGGTTTGTTAGGATAGGACAATATTTGGCCGAGATAAAACTATTTGAAAATCTGGAATCTGAGGGTGCAAAAAAAATGAAAATATTGAGAAAATTGCCTTTAAATTTGTCCAAATGAAGTTTTTAGCAATGCATATTACTAATCAAAAATTGTTTTGATATATTTACAGTAGGAAATTTACAAAATATCTTCATGGAAAATGATCTTTGCTTAATATCCTAATGATTTTTGGCATAAAAGAAAAATTTATAATTTTGACCCATACAGTGTTTTTTTGGCTATTGCTACAAATATACCTGTGCTACTTAAGACTGGTTTTGTGGTCCAGGGTCACATATGTCTGTCTGTTGTTAACAATACATTACCATTCAAACGTTTGTGGTCAGTAAGAATTTTTTAATATTTTTGA